TTTCCAGATCCCCTTTTGTTGCCAGTTCAGTGGGTCCAGGTGGTTGAGTATTAGAGTGTTCCATCTCATTTCTCTTTGGGGTTGCTGTAGGTGATATAGAAGTCTGGTTTTGAGAATTATTTACGTGTTTTCTCATTTCAACTGGGGGGGTGGGGGGAGGGGTTCTGTTGGCACCTGCGCAGCTCAATTCCTCTGTGCTGGGAGAGTTGGGACAGGAGCTGGGAGCAGCGGTAGGCATGGTGGCCAGGAAGCCCCTTCCTGTGGACCAGAAGCAGTGGGACAGTGGCTCAGAAGCCCCTACCTCTGGGCCAGGAATGATGGGACAGATGGCGGCCCAAATGCCCTTTCCTCTGGGCTGGGAGTGGTGGGATAGAAGGCGGCCCAAAATCCCTTTCCTCTGGGCAGAGAATGGCAGGACAGAGGATGACCCAAAAGTCCTTTCCTCTGGGCTTGCTGTGGCCGGATGGATGGTGGCCAGCAAGCCCCTTCCTCTGGACCAGGAGCAGTGGGACAGTGGCTCAGAAGCCCCTTCCTCTGGGCTGGGAGCAATGGGACAGAAGCTGGCCCAAAAGCCCTTTCCTCTGTGCTGGGAATGGCGGGATGGATCTACATTGGCACTCTTGACATCTTGGGTCTGGTATTTCTTTATTATGGGGGCTTTCCTGTGCATTTTAGGATGTTGAGGAAAATCTCTGCCTCTGCCTACTAGATGCTAGTAGCTACCCTCTCCCAGATGTTGACAAGCAAGACTGTCTCCAGACAATGCCAGATTTTCTTTGGTGGGCAAAGTTGTCCCCCAGATGAGAAAAGATGGTCTGTATGACTTCAGAAAAGTTCCTAACTCTTTTCTGTACTGAGCCATTCCTATTCCTGTGTTGGAATACTGTACAACATAGCAACTTGTAGAATTACTGATTTTCATCCATCCTTTTCCTGTTTCTGAATGTGCAGTGACATTGTCTTCTTATAAGTCAGTAAACTTTCTGCTCCTAAGAACCGTTTTATAGAAGCAGAATATCACCTGCCAGCATTGCTATCCAAAGTGGGCCCAAAGTCAATCTCAAGGACCTCTGGTCTCCCTTTTCATGTAATTCTATAATCATTCCCTAGCGGGCCACACATCAGTCTCTGATGAACAGTCCCTTCCCATCTTGTATATTCGTCGGCTACTAAAATCTGTTAATAACTGAGAGATGAGGGAAAGAAACACATAGATTTTCATAGCCACCATCTCATTTGATCTTCACAATAAACCCTTGAGGTTTACATCAATTATCCATTTTTATATTTTGTTTAGGAATCTTAACCTTTCTTCTGTGCTTCTTTGTTCAGCTTGGTGCTCTTATTGCAAAACTTGATATAGAAACTCAGCAGGAAGTTGATATGGAAACTCAGCAGGTCTCTTTCTTACCAGCACTGTATGCAGAGTAGCATCCTTCTGAATTACTCAACATAAAGCAGATGCCTTCTGCCCTGCATGACTCTTCCTTTTTCCTTTCCCCTTAACAGGGATCATTAAATATATGCCTCCTCTGATTGCATTTGGGGACTTAGGAACCAACTTTCCTGATGCTATTGACAGATGTCTTATATTTCTCAAGAGAGAAATGTTTTTGCTTATATTTCTTACCCTACCTTCCCTGGTCAAGCATGAGCTTCCCCATCCTTCCACACTTCCCAAACAGTGTTTCTAGATTTGGCTCTCTTCTTGGTATCATCAGAGTTCCCAAATTATTGTCACCTCTAAACTACAACTTTCTAAACTTTTGATTGACTTTATCAGTGTTTGTTTCTCTGAGATTAAAACTATTGGGAAATTAAATGCATTGATCTCAGCTTCATTAATAGTCTGAAAATATTTTGCAAATAAGCCTGTATGAATTAAAGTTTCTTTTAAACTAGGTTTTAAGATGAATTGCTACTGACAAACACAATAAATATAATTGCATGTGATTAAAACTATCAGCATGACCTGAAGAGACGCTGGTGTAATTACCAACAGTGATGAGGATTTAGAATTGCCTAGGAATCTCTGAGACTCAGAATTCTGCTTATGGAAGGTCCAAAACAGTAGTTGGAACCAATGGGAAAGAGAACTGAATTATTTCATGGCAATATAACTTTAGTGCCAATTAAAACTTTTTTTTTCTTTAAAGTGCATGTGAATCATTTTGAGTACTCTGTGGTTCATTTAAGAAAGACTAATTGGTTCTTGCTTATAAAATGCTATCTCTGGCTCCACCAAGTCCTTTTTCATTTAAAATGTGGCTTCTTATTAACCAAACTTTCCTGGTTCTGATTTAAAATGTGCATGTAGGATCTCATCATGTCATATCAGTAATGCACTGTGTGAGCTTTTCTTTCTTTTCCAGGTGGCCTTTTTGAAGATGTAACTGTTGGAGCTAAGGCATTCTGCTCCCCCAGCAAACAGCTCTCCCTGACAGAGCATGCTGAAGGCCAGCCCTGAACTCTATGGGCATCAATCACAGAGATTCAGAATGAGAACATTGCATTGATGTTTTGAGTGTACTTGTTTGCATGTATTCTTTATATATGCTTTGGATCTCTGAAAACCCAGGGCTGTGAAGAAAGTTGTAGTAGTAGGTTGTCAGCAGGTTAAGTATAGAAGTTACATCTCTACTCCCCACAGAGAGGAATATTCAAATCTGTGCAGTGTCAGCACCACCTGGAAGGATATTAGCTAATGGAGACCCATCTGTCTTGTGTGGGATGCAGCAAGGGACTTTATTTGTGGAACTCAGTATGAGCTGCCATAAATCTGAGGAAATAAACTTTTAAAGAGCTTCTTAGGTTTGTTTAACGTAACTTTAAAAACAAAAATATAGAACTTTTTATACCTTATTCAGAGGAGATGCTCAGGAGATATTTGTTGAATGAATGATTATCCAATTAAAGGTCTCTCTGTGCAAGCCTACACGTGTCCTTTTGTTCTTTATTTCTTGTACCACATACTATTGCAAATTGATAAGTATACCTCATTGACATGTTGGTGCAGATTTGTCTTATCCTTTGATACCAAAGCAGGTAGTTAGGAAAATACTGAATGAGAATGATATAACTGAATGGAGTTCTATAGAGCAAGCCTGGCTCCTGATTTTACAGAGAAGTTTTGAGACTTGCCTAGACTCACACAGGTAGGTCCAAAACTAGGTCTGGACCCAAGTGGATCCATGTTTTCTGCTTGAGATCTCATCCATGTCTCCCTCACATCTTTCTTTCTCACTCTACATTCAGAGGCTAGTGTCTGGATTTGTAACTATCCCGGCTGCTGATCAGGCCTGGCAGCATTAATTCTAACCAATAGACTACCTAATACTGTACTTCTTTCCTAAAAGACCTGAGTTTTCTGTCCCCTAAGTTCCTAACATTATTAACACAGGTGCCACTCAGCTTTATAATTTGGGAACCAGCCACGATTTTGTCTTCCTTTTACTTTAACCAAAACACTTGTCCCACAAGCTGAGCAGAGGAGTACCTCTCTCAATGCTATAACTATTCGACTGATACAGGAATAAAGCCCATCTGTTTGATCCCACAGTGTTACTTTATTAAGCACAGTTTGAAACATTGAAGTCTTAGGGTTATGTCCAAGACTCACAGCCATAGAGAATTAGTTTGGCTTCACTTAAGCCACTAGGCTCCCAAACATCATGCTGGTTTTTCATGCTTTTGATTTCTATCATTATAGAACAAGGTTTCTCACCCTCAGTACTGTTTACATTTTGGCTTGGACAGTTCTTTGTTTTGGAAGACTGCCCTGTGCATTGGAGACTGTTTAACAGCATCTCTGGCCTCCACCCACCAGATTCCAGCATCACATTCTCCTCCATTCCCAGTTGTGCTAACCAAAAGTGTCTGCAGGTAATACCATGAGCGACAAAATCGATTCCAGCTAAAAAATACTGTGGCCTGAGAAAAGTGTTTGTTGACTGCCTAAGATTTTATACTGCTAAAGGCATAAAACTTTACAAATTCTGAGTCCTTTTTGGCATGTGGCCTGGCTTTAGTATACTTTTTAAAGTTTTGAGATATTTATTTACTTTCAAACATCACAAATCATAGATTATGTCATGACTATGAGTGACTAAATTTTATATCTCCTCAGAAAAACAGCACTGTTAAATAACATCCTTTGGGGAACTTCAGTCTTTGGTCATAAGTTTCACATGATGAATAGTACCTTTGTATGTGATTCTTCCTTAGAGTTCAGTTTTTATTGACTTAATAGTGGATATTGGAATAAATTATCTGAACCAGAGTTCAGCCTATGCAAACAGAATTTTTTCTGTGGTATTTTTTTCTCCCTCTGGAGAAAAGGGAAGCCATCATTGTACTAAATGTATGTTTATAGGTTAGATAGTGAAGGTGCTAATAATTCAGTAGATAACTTGGTTCTGTTCAAAAAGCCCAGCTAGAAGGATATTCTGTTTCTTAAAAGTGTAATTCTCCCTTTATTATATTTTATTAATTTGGTTTTTTAAATTTTTTCTTTTATTAGTACATGTTTGCAGTATATAATGATTACATTCTTCCTGGGGAGTTGCTTCACAGACATAATGCATCTTATATTCTGATGTACTTTGTCTCCTTGAGTCAAGTCGAGTCAAAGTAGTTAGAAATGTTTACCTCCATCTAGGGTCGTAGGAAGCCCACCTCCTTCCTGGAGGTATGGCATGGGGAATGGAGATGGAATAACTCTGAGAAATTCTGAGGAACAGGGCCTAGTGGTGGTCATGCAACTCACACAAAGAACAAATTTCAGATACTGTGTTTGCAGTTGCACCTGTCATGCAGCTTAAAACTTTTTCATAGTAAAGTGGTCAAGGTTCTTCCATGGTTGGGAAGGGAGAGGCTGCACAGCTGATCAACAGCTCAAAGTAGGCAGTTAACATCTACTCAGTGGGTAGGTCTGAGGCATAACATGTCTGAATCTTTAAAAGTCTACTACTTTGTGACCACAGAGGGTAAAGGAAGAAGGATATTATGGTTTAGATCTAAAATGCCCCCCTCAAGTCTCATGAACTCAGAGGTGAGACTTTTGGAGAAGTGATTGAATCATAAAGGTTCTAACTTCATTAGTGGTTTAATCCATTAATCTGATCATAATTTGATGGTAATACTTAGAAGCGATAGAAATAGGAGATGGGGCCTAGCTGAAAGGAGTGGATTATGGGGGCATGACCTTGAGGAGGACTATTATCTTGTCCCCGCTCCTTCTTCTGCTGCAAGTTTCTCTCTCCCTTCTCTCTTCTCCCCCACCCCCTTCTGACTGCCATACCGTGAGCGGCTTTCCTTCACATCCTTCCACCAGGATGTTTCTGCTTGGCACAGGCATAAAAGCAACAAAACCAGGTAACCATGGATTGAAATCTTGAGCCAAAGTAAATCTTTCCTTCTTTACGCTGTTTATGTTAGGCATTTTGTCACAATGATTTAAAGCTGACTATCCCTAAGGAAAGAAGAGAGTTTGTATAATTTTTCTTTTTATCAAAAAGAAAATTTCCGTGTGTGTGTGTGTGTGTGTGTGTGTGTGTGTGTGTGTGTGCCCAAGTCAGATGGAGAGAGACATAGCTGGAATTAAAGAGATTTAATTAAGTTAAACCATACTAGGAGGCCTAGAAAGGATTAATGTTGACACTTGGAAGCCATTCCACCTTTGCCTCCTGAATAATTTCAGAATTTTTCAGAATTATTCAGTAGCATTCTTAGATATTCCTAATAATCACAGAATTTTGAAATACTGTTAAGAGGTTACTGAGGACCAGAGGCATAGGAAAATACCAAATTTCCAGTCCACATTTTATATCTTTAAAAACTGCTATAAATAAGTAGTTCTTTGAAAGCATACTCAGCTAGTATAAAATTATAATAGTATAGAATATAAATCTTGTTGAAAACTTCTATTGGCCACTCATTCTGTCAAACCAAACCATAAGTTTGTTCGGTTAGTGCATAGTTATTGAACACTTACTACATGTCAAGTTTAGGTATGAGTACTGCAGATAGGATAATAAGACAAAATTTTTACCCTCACACAACTTACATTTTTGTGGAAGGAGCAGACAAAAATTATTTATAGAATAATTTCAGAAAATAAGCACAATGGGGGAAAAGCTGAATAAAGGAAATGTAATGGAAGGTGCTATTTCAGACAATAAAACAGAAGTCAAGTTGAAAGTGTATGTAAATCTCATGTAGTGCATATGGTCAAAATTATTTTACTAAGAGTGACTGAAGATACATTATGAAATGCCAACAGATCGCCTACAAACCACAGCTTACATCATTTTGCAAAAAAAAACATAGCTTGGTTAAATAAAGACCCATGAATATTAGCAAAACTTGTTTTGATTGGACTGATTGCAGAAAAAAGATTCAACTAGAACCAGACATGTTAATATAATTGGCCTTGCGCTAGCCCTTTGATAATTGAGCTCCCTCAGTAGCCAGTGTAGTAGAAGTGCTGTGTTAAATAGTTTTGCATTATAGATAAAGCCAGCCTCATTTTTGTTCCTGTACATTTGTTTTTGTGCTTAGTGTATAGTAGAGATTAATTGGGATCCATGCTGTGTTGTAATTCAGGAATGTAGAGGTGACTGGTACATTTTAGTCTGTAATCAAAAAAGAATCACCATTTGTCTCACATCAAAAGGGTGATTCCACTAATTACTTGTCTAAAAGTTCTACACATTTTTAAATCTTAAATATGCAAGACCACTCAATGTAGGTTTTTGCGTTTTGGTATTGGGGATTGAACTCGGGACCTTGTGCTTGCGAGACAGGCAATGGAACCACTGAGCTAAATCCCCAGCCCTAAGACCACTCAATGTAACTTGAGGTAACTTCTTTTTTATCTTGAGAAGATTCAAGACTTCATGTGCTGAATCAGAGCTTGTCATCCTTAATGTAAAGTAAAGTAAGAAGGTGTTACAGGGAAATAAGTCATTTTAAGAAGTAATTCTCAGGCTGGGGGTTTAGCTCAGTGGTTCTGCCGCCTGCCTCGCAAGTGCAAGGTCCTGAGTTCAATCCCCGGTACCAAACAAACAAAAAAAGTAATTCTCTAAGACAAACCTGCTCAAAACAACATTTAATAATGCATCCAACCTATACTCTTCTTATAAAAATATGGCAATGTTTTCACTTAGGAATACACTAAATCAATTCATTTTCAATTCGGTTACAGATAAACCCATTTCCAGCACCCCAAACTTATCCTAAGGCCTTTTGTATAAAAGGTACAATAAACAGAATGCAGGGTTTATGTGCAATATGTGAATGTGACTTAGTTCTGCCTCTAGTAGCCAGACCTGTTGGCAAGCATTCTTGTCAGATGATTATGTCTTCTTTCCTTCTTTCTTTTTCTTTCTTTTCTTTCTTTCTTTCTTTCCTTCTTTCCTTCTTTCCTTCTTTCCTTCCTTCCTTCCATTTTTTTTTACGTACTGGGGCATCAAACCCAAGACCTGTGCCTGCTAAACAAGAGCTTTACCATGGAGCTATCCCCCTAGGCTTTTTTTTTTTTTAAGGCCTTTTAAAATTTATTTTGAGACTGGCTCTTGCTAAGTTACCCAGACTGACCTTGAACTTGAGATCCTCCTGCATTAGCCTCCCTAGTAAGGACTATAGGTGTGTGCCACTGTACCCAGTAATTATATTTTCTTTCTTTCTCCCCATTATACACAACCTGATCAAGTTTTTGTACAAATATTTTCGTATTTTTATTTGATTTCTTTCAACATTTTATAGATTAAGCTTTTTCTTATTGTTTTGAAGGCTAAAAGGTGAGAATGATTTTTATTGCCACATTTTGATGATTGATATTCTATAATTAGTATTTTCTGGCAAATTTCAATGATTGCTAAAAATACCCAAATCTTGAACACTGTCAGTGGGTGATAATTTAAAACAGTAGCAGCA